TCCAAATTTTAAGTGAAAGTGTTTTAAAGCCGTGAGGACTGTGTTCTTTTTTTGTTCACCCTCAAAAGCGTTTCAGAAGCCAGGGGATTTTTTGGGGGGGATTTCTCCCAGTGTTGGGGTTCCCCACGTGTTTTAAGAAGGGCCCCTCCCTTTCCTGTTGCGTATTCAACCCCTCAAGCTACCAAAGCCCCCAAGCCCCCTTTTGGTTTTTTGCGTTTTCCGTGTGAATTCTTCCCAAAATGTGTAGGGAAAGTTTTCCCGAGGCCAAATCAAAGCTACTATCACATGCCACTTCCGCCCCGTGGATCAGGGCCAGTGGGTTGGGCGATTGCCTAGATTACCAGCCCCCGTGGTTACCAATGTCCCGGCCCATGTCTGTCTGTGCCCGCCTCACTTGGGGTACCCCATTCCCGCTCATCTTTTTCCGTGCCCCCCTGACGTCACCCCGAGAGTCGCCCGACGCATACCCTGAAAATCCTGAGTCACCCATCGGGTTCAGTAATTAAATTAAAATATTTTAAAGCAAAAAAAAGATATATGTCGTGGTTAATTCCTTCAATGTTCTCAATTTTAAATAATTCTTAGTGTCAGTTTTATGCACAGAAAAGATCATTTGCTAGTTAAAAGCCCTGTTGTACCGCATGTACCGCGGGTGTTTTAAAGTTTCCGGTTCCAGTGAGGGTTTTAGCCCGACCTGAGTACCCACTGTGCTAAGTCACCTGTGTGACCAGTACGTTTGGACAGCTGATGTCAAGTCAGCCCCCGAGTGACTGAGCCTCTTGTACAGAAAGCTTTTATGCTCGTCGCTTGTGATGTTCTGCAGAATCGTACCTGCTACGATTCCCATCGAGATTTGTTTCACTTCACCTCCAGACCTTCAGAATGCAGTTATATGTAGAGAAACAAGTCTGGGGATGCTTAGACTAACCTCTGCTATAACTCCAACTGCCGAGAGAATGATACTCGCCAAGCCGCAGTTAGCCACTGTCGGCAGGAGCTGTGTCAGCCTCATGTCACAAGCTTCAGTGAGCTCCTGCACAAAGATGTCACTTTGACTGCTAGCTCTCTCACTGCAGTCTGGTGTATGATGTTACGACTCCCAGATGTTTCGCCCAGTCGTCTCTGCCACGATTCGCTCCACAACTCGCTCCACGCTCGCCGGCAGTGACAGCCCAGCGACAGTACCAGTCGAGAAGTGTCCTCCTGAGTCCCTTGCCAGAAGTCCTGCCCAGTTGCCGAGTTTTGTCGACGCCTCACTCGAGGCCACCATCATGTTGTGCCCCAGGTTGAGTGAAAACCTGCAGCGACACCTACGATGACTGGCTTTTCACCATTCCAGTGAGGAGACCGTACCCTGTTACTCACAGCTCAGCCGCAGCGATGTCTCCTGTTGCAGTATCTGTCCGACGCAGAAGGCTTCATGATGCCCTGACGCTCGCTGCCTAATGACCACGATGTTCGGGCACAAACCACATATTTTTTTTCATTCCCTCCCTGTAGGAAGTTTTTTTTCATGTTCATATGTATATATGTTGTTTTTATTTTGTGTTCTGTGCCCTGTTCCTACGAGAGAGAGAACCGAGTTTCTTTTACCCGCTAGTATTGTCGCTCGGAACGACCGCAGTAGGTGGCCGAGCGTAAATAACGCCTTACTGTCTGCACAGACAGCCCATGGCTGTCTGCCAGCTTAGTATCATATTTCGCGCCACTCAGATGCTACTCCTCTGTAGACAAGGCCCCTCTCCGTAGGCACGCCAGCCCTGTCTGCCCTTCCCGCTCTCCCTCTCACAGCGCCTAAGCAGGAAGACACAAAGTAGTCCCAGCTCTCTCTCGTGGGATGGCCCTGCCCGGGGCCATGGGCACAAACACACAAGCCTTGTGTACCAACCACGACCTTTCAATAAAGTAAGAAGCCTCCGAAGATATATCATTAACTACCCCACTAACAAGAAAGAACAAATAATCCTTTATAGGGGACTGGCTCCAAACCTGCACGTTGGAAATTGCTACTAATGAATAAAAGAAGCATGGTAGCGGATGTCTCCAATGAAGATCAGGGGAGTGATGAGTACGCAGAGAACTCGAACTCAGTGTGTTAGGGGACTACGACTCGACACAAGGGGACGCGACTGTTTCCTCAACAGCAGTTTCCTATGAACCGGGTTGTGGTCATATCTGGACTGCGGGTGACGGACTTACAGATTGGTCGATCAGGCCAGTAATCTAGGAGGCCTGGTCTGGGCCGGGACGCGGGGTAACGTATTTGTGTATGAGTGGAAAGAACTGCAAATTAACGTCATATGAACACTGCTGTGCTTCTTTGTTTTTAAAACACTGGTAGGGGTCTTGCATTGAACGAGTATGAAAAGCAAAAAGTTGTAAGGCGTAATTAAGATATAAAGTCAAGAAATTACACTATACGAACTTTCAAAACAAAAGACAACAATTGTGTGCTCTTTCGTGTTGATTATTATTCTGTGCTCACAGTTCCTCTCAAAGCAGGAGAGATCCAAGATGGAATAATATATATCAGTTACTGCCCTTACAGAATAAATAAAACATCCAAACTGCAAGGAACACCTCAAAGTGCACTGGACCCACTGGAACGAAGATATATCTGACAGTATTTGTAAAATACCCAAATGCCAGCTTAATCTACGCACTACTTGACGAACTAGCTGGAACTCATGAGGGATCCGGGAGGAAGTGTAAAATACACCCAGTGAAAAACAGTGGTGCCAAAAGCACATTTTATCTTAGCAGAGTTAATAAATAATGCGGAAATAATTATAGTAGTGTTTAAGTGGGAGCTGGAGGATGTGTGGGTTATGTAGGGCAGCGGGTGTCACTAACATAAACTGTCAGGTGGTCATCTGGCCACATGCAGGCTACGATAGTAGAACTCTCGAAACCGGCAACAGGTGTGGTAAAGGGAAGCAAACAAGCAAGCAAGCTGACGCTCCCAGTGTTAGTAGCATGAGTCATGCTACAATGAAGCATCAAGAACTCCGGGTGAGCTGAGGCAGTGTAATGTGGGATGGAGGAAACAAGACGCCAATCTTCTCCAGTTCAAAACATCTCTGCTGTCTCGCTTAAAAATAAGTGTTTTTGTGTATGGATGTATGTGATGATCAGCAGTGTGCTGGCTGGCGGTAAAAAAAAAAGGGGGGGGGGCGGTAAGGGCGAACGGATGTGCGGCACGCTAGAGCAATATTAATGGCTAGCCGTGGCAGGGCGAGCTAGGAGGAACAAGTGGTTGGTTGGGACGCTACTGCCCGACGGGTCTTTAACGGTTTTCCCCTGAGTTCCTGTTTTGTATCACTTGCCCCCATAGGTCTCCATGTTATTGACCCCCTTTTTTTAAGAATTATATTGATGCAATAACTGAATTTTACAGGACGGAATTTGAAACTTTGAAGTGTAGTAGCTGACACAAAATGTGCGTACTGTGATATTTGTTGAAGGAAAATGATTGGTGTAGGGAGGGTGAGTGTTAGTGGCGGTAGAGAAATTTGAGGTCCTGCAGGTTTTGTGGGAAGGGTAGCATTAGAGGAATGTTGGGAAGTGATGGTTACAAGGGTGAGTGGTTGGCTGTATGCAGTCCCAAAGAAAGCGAGAACAAGTATTTGGCAAGAGAGGAGGCAAAGGGGAATGGTGGTTTAGTGCGGGTATTGTTGGGCATGTGTGGGTAGTGGGCGTGTAGGCAGGTTGCTGTGAAAGTGTGGCTGGGTGGTGAATAGTGGTGACGGTGGGCACTTGCAGGTGGGTCATGTTGACAATGGTAAACATGTACTGGGAGGGGAGGAGGATTATATTACCAAGGGAAAATGCAGTAGTTTGTCATTCTTAAAATTTACGTTTAAGCGTATTATTAATCTAGAATATGTTCGATCGTTCATCGTTGAAGCTAGGAAATAAATATTGTGATACGACAGTGATTAGTATGGAGCGGTCACGTACGAGTGAGAGAGTGGACTTGCAGCTCCAGCTTTTATGGATCACTGCTCTCACGTTGCCCCAGTGGCTTTTCATGCTGACTTAACAGAGTTCGAATCTCGCCTAGAGGCAGTTTCTCTAATTAGGTCAAGCTGGCCAGAGTATAACTATATTTAAGAGGCTGGTCGAGAAAAAAATAGCTAACAAATATTAAGTGAGCTTACATCCCGTGTACAACAGCCTGTCCTATAAATAGTGTTGGTTTTCGAACGAGTGACAGCGCATCGTTGTTGGCACGATCTAAACAACGAGAAAACAAACCTGTATATTTACTGGTAGTTAACCGCTAGTAACGAAACCGGCGCCTTATGTTGGCAACGCTGGGCACGATCGCTTCTTAGTGTTGGTAACCCCAGGTTCTAGGATCAGGTTGAAGGACGGGTTGTGTACAAGCACATGTGAGTTGACAATTATTGTTCACTGCAAGTAGTATGCAACTTGCCTTTGCTGAACACCTACTCTATAAGCAAAAATATTTTTTACTGCATCTATTGTTGCAGGAACTTTTTACTATGAGTCATATGTAACCTAGGATTCTTGTATTTTTTTTATAGTGTCGGCATCAGTTGTGGAAAGTCAGCTGTAGTGGTTCTTGACTGTTCAGTTAGAAATCACTCGCAACCTACTGCGAACACTTTGAGTTATAAACAAGCTGGATAAGAATATATGTATTAGAAAATATGTTCACGTTTTTAGCATTGTTATTTAATGTGTACTGTAAAAATAGTTTTTATAATCGTATTTGTTTGATCTGCATGACTGTATGGTAGACAAATAAGCTAGTTATTATTTGGTTGTGAGACAGTAATGTACTAGTTATTGTTTGGTTGTGAAGCACTGTGCCAGTTATTGTTTACAAGACAAATAGTAATGTTGGTATTGTGAACCAGACACACTGCAGAATACTTTTTTTTTTTTAGGGTCAACGTTTCAATATGCTGATATCTTTATCAAGTCAATTTCAACGGTACAAATTTGATTAAATTATTTTTCTCTTTCCACAGGTAAGCTGCATCTACTTTAAGGCATCGTTCTTACACTTGAGCAGTGAGGTAAGTGCCATTGTCACTACCCAACTTGTTCTCACACCGTTTATCAGGAACTTTTTTTTTAACTTTATGTTTTTCCATGATCTACTCATGGAAGAGAGAGGGGGGGGGAACAGGCCGGCTTCAAACGCAACCTTTCCTCTCAGTCTACCTGTTGCAACTCTTGCAAAATTGCATAGCTCCTAAAGAAGCACGGAAAAGTGTGAAAGATCTTGAGCTAAAGATTTCCATCCCCTGTGGCTTGTTTTGCAGGGAGGTACTACCGTCCTGCCAAGTGAGTGTAAAACGAAAGCCTGTGATTGTTTTACATGATGGTAGGATTGCTGATGTCTTTTGTCTGTCTCATAAATATGCAAGATTACAGGCATGTCTTGCTACTTCTACTTACACTTGGGTCACACTACACATACATGTACACATTTATTTATACACACTCATCTGAGTTTTCTTTGATTTTATCTTAATAGTTCTTGGTCTTATTAATTTTCCTTTTATATCCATGGGGGAGTGGAATAAGAATCTTTCCTCCGTAAGCCATGCGTTTGTAAAAGTCAATTTAAAATGCCGGAACAAGGCTAGTAACCCCTTTTCCTGTAAAGATTACTAAAAAGAATAAGAAGAAGAAAATTGTCAAAGTGGGAAGTTCGAATGTGCGGTGGTTGTGGGGGAGATGATAAGAAAAATGATTGTGGATGTTAGAATGAGAAGAGCTGGATGTCCTGGCTTTAAGTAAAACAAAGCTGAAGGGGGTGGGAGATTTCAGTGGAGAGGGAAAAAATGGATTAGGTCAGGTTTCAAATAGAGTTAGAGCTAAAGAAGGAGTAGCAATATGTTGAAGGATAAACTATGGCAGGAAAAGAGGGGCTATAAATGTATTAATTCAAGGATTATGTGGATAAAATAAAGATTGGATGGAAAAGTGGTTATAATAAGCGTGTATCACCTGGAGAAGAAGAAGTGTAGAGGGAAAAGAGAGATTTTGGGAAATGTGATGAATGCGTGGGGAGTTTTTGAATCAAGTTTTGAGAGTAATGGGGGTTTGGGGATTCAATGCTAAAGTGGGGGAAAAATGTTATGGGAAAGGGGTAGTAGGTAAATTTGGGGTGCCAGGGTAAATGTAAATGGGGGGCCTTTAATTGGCTATGTGTAGAAAGAAATTTGGTAATAAGTAATACATATTTTTTTGAAAAAAAGGATAAATAAATATACAAGGTATGATGTAGCACGTAATGAAAGTAGTTTGTTAGATTATGTATTGGTGGGTAAAAGGGTTTATGGGGAGCCCCAGGATGTACACGTTTATAGAGGGGCAACGTATATCGGATCATTTTAGTTGTAGCTACAGTTAGATAAGAGGTAGATGGGAAAAGAGGAAGTGGCAACAACAATAAGGGGAGGTGAAAGTGTATAAACTAAGGAGGGGGAAGTTCGGGTGAGATATAAGCGACTATTGGCAAAAGGTGGGCTATGCAAAGATAGTAGTGGGGGGGTTGAAGGGGTTGGAATAGTTTTTAAAAATGCAGTATTAGAATGTGGGGGAGAAGTTTTTGGTTATAGGAGGGGGGGCAAGGAAAGAGGAGTGATTTGGGGGAATGATGAGTAAAGGGGTGTAAAAGAGAAAAAGGTAGCTATGAGAGTTTTTACAAAGCAGAAGTGTTAAAGAAGAGCAGAGTATATGGGGAGTAAAAGAAAGGTAAAGAGAGTGGTGAGAGAGTGCAAAAGGAGAGCAGATGATAGAGTGGGAGGCACTGTCAAGAAATTTTAATAAAAAGAAAAAATTTTGGATGATGGCTCAGGGGGGGTAAAGGTCCATGTGGGTTTGTGTGACCCTTGAGGCAGGCAAGTGCGTGGGGTCGGATCCGGGTTGCCCCAGTTTGGTAAATGATTCAAAACCAATTTACACACACACACAACACACACACACACACACACACACACACACACACACACACACACACATGTGAAGTTAATGAGAAGAATCGAATCGGACGAGGATCAGGCAGGACTACAAAGAGATCTGGACAGGCTACAAGCCTGGTCCAGCAACTGGCTCCTTGAATTTAACCCTGCCAAATGCAAAGTCATGAAGATTGGGGAAGGGCAAAGAAGACCGCAGACACAATATAGTTTAGATGGCCAAAGACTGCAAACCTCACTCAAGGAAAAAGATCTGGGGGTGAGTATAACACCGAGCATATCTCCTGAGGCGCACATCAATCAGATAACTGCTGCAGCATACGGGCGCCTGGCAAACCTACGGATAGCGTTCCGATACCTCAGTAAGGATTCGTTTAAGACTCTGTACACCATCTACGTCAGGCCCATACTGGAGTATGCAGCACCAGTTTGGAATCCACACCTAGTCAAGCCGTCAAGAAATTAGAGAAAGTGCAAAGGTTTGCAACAAGACTAGTCCCAGAGCTACGGGGTTTGTCCTATGAAGAAAGGTTGAGGGAAATCGGCCTGACGACACTGGAGGCCAGGAGGGTCAGGGGAGACATGATAACGACATATAAAATACTGCGCGAAATAGACGAGGTGGACAAAGACGGGATGTTCCAGAGATGGGACACAGACACAAGAGGTCACAATTGGAAGTTGAAGACTCAGATGAATCAAAGGGATGTTAGGAAGTATTTCTTCAGTCATAGAGTAGTCAGGGCCATGGAATAGCCTAGAAAGTGATGTGGTGGAGGCAGGAACCATACATAGTTTTAAGGCGAGGTATGATAGAGCTCATGGGGCAGGGAGAGAGAGGACCTAGTAGCAATCAGCGAAGAGGCGGGGCCAGGAGCTGTGACTCGACCCCTGCAACCACAAATAGGTGAGTACACACACACTCACACACACACAAATATATATATATATATATATATATATATATATATATATATATATATATATATATATATTATATATATATATATAGGGACTTGCCGCCCCTATTCTCGCCGAACACAGGTGTATTTGTGGCAGTGAAGCAGCAGACCGATTCGGGTACCATGGTCTTGTGTGCCGTAAATCCGAGGGAAAGATTGCAAGCATGAGGAGGTTAATAACATCAAGAGGAGCCTCACAACAGCTGGATGCCAGCAGTAAGGGAGCCACCCCAACTATGCAGATCTGATGGCAGCCAGAAGCGTCCAGATGGTATCACCCTTCAAGCCTGGACAGATGGGAAGCAGGTGGTGTGGGACTATACATGTGCATCTACCTTGGCTGATACCTATCTCCAATACACCAGGGAGGAAGGAGGGGCAGCTGCCAGCTTCAGGGAGTCCCAAAAGTCTAGAAAATATGGAGAACTTGCCCATCATTATATGTTTGTTCCCATAGGCTCAGAGACCCTTGGCTCATGGGGAAAGAATGCATCTAAATTCCTTAAGGAGCTGGGAAAAAAGACTCATCAGGGTAACTAGGGATCCTAGGGCAGCTAGTTTTCTGTTCCAGCGGCTCAGTGCGGCTGTTCAAAGGGGTAATGCCTGCTGTATTTTGGGCACACGCCCCAGCTCTGAGGAGCTGGATGAGATTTTCGCCTTATAATCGGTGATACACACGTAACAACATGTACCGTATATGCCACCTTTATATCAACAATATATCTCTTAAATCTTCTGTACCATATTATGTAATAAAATATTCCTATTGGTAAAAGAAATATATATTAAAAGATGGGGTGGTAGGGGAAGTGGAATATTCAAACGGCTTCAGGAAGAGATCCAAATATTCTTCCTTGAAGCCTTTTTATCCACTTCTCCGAGGCTATGGGTCCCACAATTTAACACCAGGGGTGGACCCCATCCTATATATATATATATATATATATATATATATATATATATATATATTATATATATATAATATATATATATATATAATATATATATATATATATATATATATATACATATATATATTTGTGTGTGTGTAAAATTGGTGTCGTTTAACGAAACGTAGAAAAAAAAATCTAAAAGGGTAATAAAGTTTAAAACCTGCATGCGCCTTTGGCGAGACTGGTTTGGGACCGGACCGCGGGAACAGTGACCTCCGGATGCGACTACAGGTATCCTACAGGACAGGTTGCGCTGCCGGGTACCGAGAACTGAGAAGAAAATAACTGTTCTTTCATTAATCTGATAATTAACATAACTATTTTGGCATGCGATGTTTAGCAGGTGTTAAAGTTTGCAGGTTACGCCGAGGGTCGAGATAATTTACACCGCTATTTGCTGTGAGGGTGCACATACCGCTACACAGACATTGACTACATAAACTCCTTCCTTGACTGCTGTTGCAACAGTCAAGTATTACTGCTTTTTCAGATTACCATTTTGTTCAAAAAACTTTACGAACCATAGTTTAAACTTGCTAACGCTCTTACATGTTAGTAATATTATTAATGCATTCTTATTCTCTGCTAAGTTTTAAATAGTGCCGAAGTGTGTTTACCCTCTACACAAGATACTTGTTTTTGTCTTAGAGTTTCTAAATCAAGTTGCCGCATGTAAGGTAACCTAAGCGAATTTTGATCGCATCGTTTCTACTCTTCCATTCCCACCTTTCGTAACATACGCACACGTTTTTTTCTAATGCAGTATACAAGACTACGAAGCGTGATCCACAGTGACTAATTAGTCAACTTCTTCCAGCCTCGTATGGAAAAAATACGGAACTTCCGGTTAGCTTCTCTCTTTAGGAAATTTAATCTTCTGGACCAGTTACATATAATACACGAAATAGGGAATATGGAGGTCCGTGTGTGTTAATATCCTTGTGGGAGCTTTAAATATTTTCATGAAACTAGTCATATAATGAATCTAATACATTTTTGGATGATTTTTTGGAGACAGCTGTAGTTTTCGGCAGTGAAAATGGATCTTGAGCCACAGCAGACCTTCCGCCCTGGGAAGGATGTGAGATGGCTGGGGAGGGGGGGATAGTGAGTATCACTATACTCAGTTCCCAGCACACGCCTGGCCGGACCACACCTGCTTCCTACCATG